AGGCAGGAGACTCGCTTGAGCCCAGGAGTTGGAGGTTGCTGTGAGCGTGATGCCACGGCGCTCTACCCAGGGGCATAGCTTGAGGCTCCGTCTCAAAAAAAAAAAAAGAATCTTGCCCTTGTTTGTTTACAACAATGCCAACAGCATGCTGGGTAGACTCTTCCAGTTGTGCCAAGGTAACATTTATGTGGCATGCCTTTTTGGACAGTACCCACTCCCTTGATGTCTACAACATCACCTTTCTTGTAGATTTGCATATTTGTGGCCAAAAGAACAACTCCATGTTTTCTAAAAGGCCCAGAGAACATGTATCAGGTGCCTCTCCTCTTTTACTTTGTGTTTGTCATTTTGTTTAATTACTGGAAGATGGGGTCTCCAGCTGAAAGGTTTGATTTTGATTTTTTAAAAAAATTTTGCATTGAGTTGTGGTGTGATGTTTTGTGCCTGCACTCTGAACACTTTGGAAGAGCAAGGCAGGAGGATCACTTGAGGCCAGGAGCACAAGATTGGCGTAGGAAATAGCAAGACCCTGTCTCCACAAAAAGTTAAAAAACTAGCCAAGTATGATGGCATGCACCTGTAGTCCTAGCTACTCAGGAGGCTGAGGCAGGAGGATCATTTGAGCCCAGGATTTGGAGGCTGCAGTGAGCTATGATGAGGCCACTGCACTGCATTCTAGCCTGGCAACTGAATGAAACTGTCTCAAAAAAAAAAAAAAAGCACTGAAATTTTGTCTTGATTATTGAGTTTTTTTGGCCTCCCCATGAGTTTTGCATCTAGGTAAGTACCTCTTTAGCCTTACCATAGTCTCAGGCTGCCTGAGGCACTGGGCAACAGTGTTTTGTTTGGGTAAAGTGGTGGGTGGGCTCTAGATCTCCCTCACAGCTTGCATCCTGACCTTGGGCAGATTAACCCAGATTTAGAGAAAAGAAAAGCATAACTCTCCCTGGATGTGAAAGCTCTCCTGGGACCAGACACTCTATAAATAGGCCATAAGAACATGCAGAAAGGAGGGTCTTTCCCCTGAGACCACCAGTGCACAGGCTGTCCTGTGGATACTAGATATTTCAGTTGGAACTTTGCTTTCCCACTGCCATCTACCTGTGAAAGAGGATCCAGAAACTACATGCCACCAGGACAGGAAAAAGAGGAGCTTTCAGGTCTTCTGGGAACTGGTCTAATATTAGCAGTGTTTTTTGTATTTGGCTCTTGTGATATCTCTATTTGGTAGGTGTCTCACAGACTAAGCAGCTGGGGCTGCCCCTGGGGAGGAGAGGATGCCTAGCTGCTGTCCTAGCTCTGTGTGTGTCATCCCACTTTCCCCCATCCTACCTCATTCATTCCATACCCTCTCCTGTGCCAGCTCTGGGCATGCACTCAGAAATGCCTGGAACACCTTTCTGCCGCCTGTGCTCAGACACTCTGGGAGCAGCTTGATGTCACTCTCTTGCCCTACCCTGGTTGAACACAATGTCCTTCCTCCCCCCTCCCACCACCCTGCCTCCTGCCCCAGCTATATTTAGGACTTTCTGTAGTCTTTACCTCCAAAGCATTCAACGCTTTCCCGGGGTCTGGAGTCGGGGCATGCTGGAGATCTTCAGAAACTCAGGATAGGAACAGGCTTTTCTCTAGGTACCTCTTGTTTCCATTCTCTCCCCTCTTCCCACCTACTCAGGTTTCAAGTAAAAAGGACACGCAGTCATATCATGGAGTGCTTGGAGGAGGGTGGCTTACTACCCATTCCAAGAAAAAATTCCCTACTTGCTAAAGTGTACTGTCCTCTAGTGGTGAATAGTTAATAGTCAATCTTTCATCAATGGGTCCTGACCTTTTTACGCCTAACAGCTTCTTATTGTTTTTACCCTTCATGAAGCTCACACTTTTAAGGTTTTAGTTCCCTCCAAATAAACCATGTTAAGGAAGAATTATTTTCCTAGTTTTTAGGAAATACTTAGTCAAAGATTCACGTGACACTTCTGATCTGCATGAGATAACCAGTTGCTATACCAGAAGCAAAGAAACTTGATGCTGCATTTATCCTGTGAAATTCTATGCATTTTTAAAATTATGACAGTAGCATTAGGTCCCCCTTTGTAATAGAAAAAGCTTTAGCGATCATGTTGTTCAACCCCCTCATTTTTCAGACAAGAGAACTGACTCAGAGATAATAAGCAAATGATACATGATTACACAACAGAATTTCTTTGGGCAGCAGTGCTTTGTTTCTCCCGTGGGAGCATTTAGAGTTTCCAGGAAGCAGGGCTGTCGACTGGTGAAGCCCAAGTGTCCTGACATGCAGCCTTGCTGCTTTCTCCCATCCCAGCTTGAGGACTGAATGCCATTCTCCTCCCTGTTGGACAGATTTTTCTCCTAAAACTGAAGGAGGCACCTTCCTTACTTAATCTGATATTTTTTTTGGGGGGGGGTTGGGTTTGAATCCACCACCTCTGGCATACGGGGGCTGGTGCCCTACTCCTTTGAGCCACAGGCGCCACCCCATTAGTCTGACATTTTTGCATTTTAATACTACTGATCTGCATTCTGATCTCTAAAACTAGATTCCCAATCTACTTGAGTGCTGTAGATTTGGTAGCTACTTTACTGAGGGAGGAGGGTGGGAATTCCAACTTTCTGTGTCCAGGGGAATCCCCTAGTCTAACAGGCTCCACTTCTCAGGTGACCCGGCGCTTCGGGATCCCAGGGCTGAAGAAAACCATGGACTGGTTTGGCTACTATGGAGGCCCCTGCCGTGCCCCTCTGCAGGAGCTGAGCCACACAGAGGAGGAGGCACTGCGTGTGGATTTCACCAGCAATGGATGGCTCTGAGGGCAAGCAGGGTCCATGGCTGGCCTGAGCCCATCTCAGCTTCCTGTCTTACGCTACAGCCTGAAGAGGAGCCTGGGGGTGGGAGGGGATTAGGAGTAGAGGCTCCCTTGCCTACTTCTGTCTTCCAGGTAGCCTTCCACAAGGCAAGCCCATGCGCATCTCCTATTCTCACTGCCCCATGACTTCACACTTTCAAATCCCAAACTCTGTTTCTAGACATGCTCTTCCTAGTCTTTAATCTTTAGACTGGGAAGGAGCAATTTCAATTTCATACCTGCCTTTCCACTGTGGATGCTTTCCTATGTCTTGGCCAGGAGCCAGAAGGAAGGGCAAAGGTGCAGTTGGGCACAGTAAGGGAATTTATTTTATGGAGGGGCAACTATTTAGACTTAGGGCTACAAACCTGAGTCTAGCACAATAGAGCTGTGAGCCAGGGCTACTCCTCAGAACCTAAGTTCTGACTCCTTCGAGGGAAAGCAGTTAAGTTAAAAAATTAATCAGGAAGGTGTGATGAGTCTTTGAAAGCTTCCCCAAAGCTGCATTCTAGCCACAACACCCTTTCCTAAATCTATTTTCATTCATCCCACATTCTTATCTCTAGCTTTGAATGTAATCTTTAGTACACGTAGCCCAATGGCTTGTCAGATTAGTAAATAATGACACCTGGTGGCTAAATGTTGCATTCTCAACTATTCTGGCCAGCCTAGGGCTGAAATACTAGGGAGGGGTACTGAGCCTGAGACAGGGCCATCCTCCTGCCTACAGACACATGGCTTTTATTATTATTAAAAAAAAAAATTACAGCTTGGTGCCTGTGGCTCAAGTGGCTAAGGTGCTAGCCACATACACCTAAGGTGGCAGGTTCAAATCCAGCCCAGCCTGCCAAACAACAATGACAGCTGCAACCAAAAAAATATCCAGTTGTGGCAGGCACCTATAGTCCCAGCTACTTGGGTAGTGGAGGCAGGAGACTCACTTGAGCCCAGGAGTTGGAGGTTGCTGTGAGTTGTAATGCCAAGGCACTCTACCCAGGGGGACAGTTTGAGGCTCTGTCTTAAAAAAAAAAAAATCACTTTTCCTTCTATACTATAGTTATGTGTAAAAATAAATAAAATAATAAAATAATGATCACTTTGTTACTATAATAAAGTTTAATAAGTAAAACTAGTATGGCTCTGTACAGATGGACACTCCAGTGCTATTCAGGTTTCCCGGCCAGATGTCAAGAACCTTCCTAGAGGCAGTTGAGCTCTCATGGTCTGCCTTTTCCCACCTCCGAGAGAGGCCTAACAATTCCAATCAAACAGGTATTATATTAGTGGGTCCTGGAAAAAGTGTAAGAGGCAAAAGAGAGCAAATGTGGCCAGGCACAGTGGCTCATGACTGTAATCTTAGCACTCCGGGAAGCTGAGGCAGGTGGATTGCCTGAGCTTACATGTTTGAGATCAGCCTGAGCTAGAGCAAGACCCTGTCTCTAAAAGTAGTTGAGTGTTGTAGTGGGCATCTGTAGTCCCAGCTACTCGGGTGCTGAAGCAAGAGAATCACTTGAGCCCCAAAGTTTGAGGTTGCTGTGAGCTATGATGGCACAACACTCTACCCAGGGTGACAGAGTGAGACTCTGTCTCAAAAAAAAAAAAAAAAGTTCATACCTCCAACTCTCTAATTCCATAGGGATTTTGAAAATTAGATAATATCATGTTATAAAATATACAGGGTTAGTTCCGAGCCCCTGATTCCTGATTAACTTCAAGAAACAGCAAACAGATTGATGTTCATAAGGATGCAGGGCCAGAAAGTCAGGAAAACTAGGTATAGGCAGTTCTGGCGATTTGTTTATTCTTCAAAAACACTTGTTTCTACAGTACAATTCAGAATAAATAGAGGCACACGGCTAAAATTTCCACCACAATCTGCTTTTAAGGAGACACTCAGGGTGAGGATGAGGGTCTGGGGGCCATGTTTGGGTAACAGGGTAACTGGGGGCCTCCGTGATGAACTGTGTAGGGATCCTGTCAGCCAAGGTTTGACCCCAGGCCTGACAGTCAAGGCTCATGGTAGAAGAGTTACAGTGCACCAAGTACAAGAAGCCAAATGTTCTTTTAGGTCCCCACATTCCTAGGGGGTCCAATTCCACCACAACCCCAGGGGCTGAGGTGAGTCTGATCTGCTGGTCCACTGAGAAGGAACTATGTCGGTCCAGGCCACCTTTACAGACTCAGTTCACTCCAGAAGCAGCCCTAATATTCTGCCCTGTGCCCTGGAGTAAGTCATGGGTACGAGTTACTATTTATATCACTTTCTTTCTTGTTCCATGTCTAAGGAAGGAGAGAGGCACAAATAGGGATTATCTGCTGTAACTCAGTGAAGGAGGACAGCTTACAAAGTCAAGGGAGAAAGAAATAGCACTTACGAAATCCTTCCTGGGGAAATAAGAAGAGACGAAAGACAAAGTGGAAGCCTGGAGTCATGATTCCAACCAGCAGTGAATGCGGGGTATGGAAAACCTCTGGCCTTGACTTTCACAGAGCTGCTATATTGTGAAAGCCACCCTTATCATTTTTCTTATTTCTCCAGTAGCACAAGCACTGGTCCTAAGTTGGGGCTAGGATCATCTACCCCAAATGTAGGCAGAATGAAGAACCCTCATATCACTTGGCAGAAAAGAAAGCATAAGGCTGCAGCAGATGCTGGCCATCCCAAGGAATTAGAGGGCTACAGAAGACACCGGGTAACCCAAGGTCTTAGGAACAGAGAGTCAACAAGAAAAGGCAGCTTCTCTATCCTCTAGCAAATAGGGTCAGGGAAAGACACAGGAGACACAAGTGCTAACAACCATGGCTGGGTCTATGGGCCAGAATCCTCAGCTCTCTTCCATAATCAAATTCCTGACTGGCAAGTGACAGAGCGCATCACAGGCTTCCGCTCCATGGTCGTTGTCATCTCATCTCAGGTCTGGTTCATTAGTTTATCTCAAATCAACAACAGGAGAGCTGACTTTACCCAATACTTGTCAGCTGGTGCCCAGTGCCCCATCAGGCGGTGAGGTTTCTGGCTGACTTGGAGGCACTCTGGGCCCGCTGGACGACTGCAGAACACTTCTCACGCCGCAGCAGCTTGTTGTTCTCAAAAAGACCTTCATTGCGGGGTATTCCATGAGAGCCATCAGGGAAAGTCAGCAGGCCTTTGAGGAAGACAGAGAAATCAGGGAATGGCTCAATGCCCATATCTCAGTGGTTAGGGTGCTGGCCACCTACACTAAGGCAGGCAGGTTCGAACCCAGCCTGGGCCTCCTAAAGCAACAATGACAACTGCAACTACAAAAAAATAGCTGGGCGTTGTGGTGGGCACCTGTAGTCCCAGCTACTTGGGAGGCTGAGGCAAGAGAATTGCTTAAGCCCAAGAGTTTGAGGTTGCTGTGAGCTGTGACACCATGTCACTCTACCAAGGGTGACAAAATGAGACTCTGTCTCAAAAAAAAGGAAAAGGAAACAGAGAGTGACAATGGCATCATTAATATCTCAGAGATCTGCTTGACATACATATACCAAAGAAGGGAGAAACCCATAACTCCATTCAGGAGTATTCTATTGGTGAGTTCAGTGGATAGGCATTAGGGCATGATCACTATCAATTGCTGGACATCCATAGAAGAATTAAAACTAAAAAGGTATATATCCACACTGTGGTTCCCAACCCCCAGACTATGGACCAGTACCAGTACACAGCCTGTTAGGAACTGGGCTGCACAGCAGGAGATGAGCAGCAGGTGAGTGAAACTTCATCGTATTTACAGTCACTCCCCATTGCTCACACCACTGCCTGAGCTCTCCCTCCTGTCAGATCAGCAGCCACATTAGATTCTCATAGGAGCACAAACCCTACTATAAACTGCACATGTGAGGGATCTAGGCTGCAGGCTCCTTATGAGAATCTAATGCCTAATGATCTGAGGTGGAGCTGAGGCAGTCAAGCTTGTGCTAGGGGGCAGCTGCAAATACAGATTATCAATAGCAGAGAGGTCTGAATGCACAGAGACCATAATAAATCAATTGCTTACAGACTTGTATCAAAACCACACCCCTATCCCTTGTTCCACAGGAAAATTATCTTCCATGAAACCAGTCCTTGGTCCCAAAAAAGTTGAGGACTGCTGTTTCTACCTATATTGTGCTCACCTAAGTCACCCATTCTGTTAGGTCACAACTTACCAAAACCATCTACTCTGCCATTTTTAAATTCCCCCTCAAAGGTCATGTTGTCATGTCGAATGAAGACTCCAACGCCATTAAACTTGCCCTGAGCAAACTCCCCCTCATACCTGCAGAAACACCGAGAAGTTACTCATCAGTGGGAAGTTAACTGTTTAGGTTAACTGAATCAAGCAGCTGCCAATATATGTTACTTTATAATGTCTGGAAGCAAAGTTGATTCTGATTGCCTCATAGGTCCACCCACCCATTCCCAACCAGCAGAAAAGGTCAGAGAGTACTATGATATGAGGTCCTAATCTCAAGGACAGAAGATAAAAAGCGAATGGAGATGGGGTGAAAGGTTACTTATCCTCAACACTTCAAATCTTAGATCTGTTTTAAAAATAAGCAATGGGGCGGTGCCTGTGGCTCAAAAGGGTAGGGTGCTGGTCCCATATGCCAGAGGTGGTGGGTTCAAATCTAGCCTCGGCCCAAAACGGCAATAAATAAATAAGTAAATAAACATAACCAATGAAAGAACTGCTTACTCCTTGTCTGTGTTCTGCAGGACTGGGCCAAGCTTAGAGTTGACTGTTATATACCAATGTTCCATTTTAATCACAGCCTCCCCCATTTAGCACTGAGAAAAGAATGACTTAATACCCACCTTGAGCCATCTGAGAAGGTCAGTACCCCAAAGCCATTAAAAAGCCCATTCTCAAAATGACCCAGGTAGGTGCCACCATCTGCGAACATCAGTTGACCAAAACCATGTCTGCGGCCTGAGCAAAGAGAATGATAGGTGTCAGGTTGGAGTGGGGCAGCTTCAGGATCCCTTCTCACTAACCTAGCATCCCATATTTTCTGTCATCCTATCCACAAAGGAGAAAAGAGATACACCTCCTAGGGCCTTCCCATCTTAAGTCAAAACCATCCAATTTTGAGGTCACTCCAAGTATGAATGATAAGAGAGGACTTAAAAATAACATCAGCTGGCTCGGCGCCTGTGGCTCAAGTGGCTCAGATGCCAGCCACATACACCTGAGCTGGCGGGTTCAAATTCAGCCCTGGCCCGCCAAACAATGACGGCTGCAACCAAAAAATAGCCAGGCATTGTGGCGGGCTCCTGTAGTCGCAGCTACTTGGGAGGCAGAGACAGGAAACTCGCTTGAGTCCAGGAGATGGAGGTTGCTGTGAGCTGTGATGCCACAGCACTCTACCCAGGGGGACAGATTGAGGCTCTGTCTCAAAAAAAAAAAAGAAAAGAACAACAGCTAATGTTTATAGCACCTTTACTATGTGACAGCCTTCCTCTAAGCATTTTGTATATATTGTCTTATTTAATTCTCATGATAACTTTGACGTACTATTTTTATTCCCATTTTACAGATAGGAAAATTCAGGGAAGGATAAGCTAAACAATTTACTCAAGATCACAGAGTCTAAGTGGTAGAGCAAGAATATAAATGCACCAGGCAGGCTATGTTAAAGCCCTCAAACATTTACCTATGCTGCCTCTCTGGAAAAAAAAAAAAATTACTCATTGGAACCAGGAAGTGCTACTACCAGACTAACCAGCAGCACTGGTTTGAGCTTTGTTATGTCAGTAGGGTTATGCTGACCCACTGAACTGACCAGAAAACAGAGCAAGAGGCTAAGGGAGAAATCATGCCCTTCAAACGAAATGTGAGGGGTTCTTTTGATGGATAGAGACCGCCCACCAGAGCCTAGAAGTTTCTCCTCTAACAGCAGGTATTTGGGAGGCAGGAGAAAAGGCCTGGGACTGAAAGAAGCAAGGTCACGTCACAGCCATACAACTTCTAAAAGCTCAAGAATTTTAGCTGCAAGGATCTAATGCGAAAAGAATGAGGTATGTGTCTGGTAACAGCATGAACTGCCCTTCACCTGCGTAAGCATAAAGACTCCAGTCTTCTCAGAGCACTTCTTGGCTTGCTAGGACAGGACCCAGGAGACTTTAAAGTCACTAGACTGTGTTTCCAAACAGAACAACGCTAAATTGCTTCCTGTACAGTCTCAGCTACAAAGAATTTTACTATTCCCATGAATAGATACTTCCAAACATAATGAACTGTCACAGGAAATTCAAGGCAACGAATGTCATTTGCTGCTGAGTGTGGGCTCTAATTTCTAGATCTTCTGTGACTTCTTATGATTCACTGGAACCAAGTAACTGCAAGGAATTCTGTACTCTCTAATTTATGGGCACTTAATTCATTTTACTCTGTTGGGTATATTAGCATTTATTGAAAGCATTCCTAAATAATACCACTAAAAGAAGAAATGATGTTAAAACACTGCAAATTTAGAAGTGGAAAGATAAAACTCATTCTTTTTTTTTTT